CAAAAATCAAATTTTTAGCTTGTGAAGGTCACAATTTTTATCAGATTTTAAAAAACGTATAAATATATCACCGTTCCACCAATGGCCACTCCATGTACGCAAATTGTGTAAAAGTATGTAATATGAAGATTGTTGACCCTCTAGATGTCACAATCTTTGTCCGATTTTGATGAAACTTTAAATGTATCTTTATATCCCAAAGATCTCAGACCAATACTTCTTGAATTATGGCCCCTGATTGTACGAAAAATCACATGGTGTTTTTTAGCTTGTTCTCTATCCATCTCTTGCAAAATGTGGGCGTATCTTGCCTGGCAACCGCTGGTTAATCTTAAAATTGATTTTTGGTATCTTATATAGTAGAAGACACACAAGAGGTTCTTTAAAATCTTTACCTATTGAAAAAGTTCATATTCGTTGTTCAGAACCTATGAATGGTTATGAACAAATCAAGACCACATCATAAATTATAGTGCAAGAATGAACCATTGAACTGAAAAGTATCCTCCATGTATGATGGCCACCAGGGCTCCTGAAGAAGTTAATCTTCTCACGTAGTTTTGGGGCTCTTTTTAGTTTTGAATTTACATTATTTTTTACAAAATTGTAAGCAAAGCAGTCTCTGGAGGTTTGGTACTCGGGATATGTTCTAGAAACCATCATTTACAGTCATTTTTTCAATAAATTCCTCACGCCATGTTGGAACAATCCTCTCTCTTGAGTGGGGGAGGGGGCTCTCGTAGAGCCAGGGCCAACAGAGGTTTTCAGCCCCCAGTCCATGCATGTTACAGTGCTATGGCACTTAAAGAGTAGACATCTAATACTACTTCTAGTAGCTACCTTGTGTTCTCAGTTTACACACAATTAAAATAAACAAAGTGGGTTTGGTAAAACAGCCATTTACAAATGATAAGCAGTCTATATGCATTGTAATAAGATCAGCCACTCAGTAAAATATTTGGACAAGCATCTGGCTTATACATGTTCGTGATGTAGTATGAAAAGGTTTTCAGGCAACAAAACATACACCCACTAGCAGCATTGTCGTCCAGACCAAAAGATACAAGTGCCACCCTAAGGGGGGGGGGGGGGGGGGGTTATAGTCCACATTCCACCTTTACTCCAAATTACAGCCATTCTCATTCCTGCTTAACTCTAACAAATCTTCTACTGTGGTGGCAGTCTAACAGTTATCTTTAGATTAGAGTGTCATAATAGACTTGGCCTAATTAACTTCTCAATATGTCTCTAAGCCTCTAAGCCTTTTAAATTTAGTGACCCCTTCCATACCGCTCTTATTACCCTAACCTTGCTAATTTTCTGCTTTTAACAATTTGGTTATGGCCAATCCCAGTACCAGGCCTTAATCCCAACCCCATTTTTTTAGCATTCACCGAACCCCCCAAATCCCAAACCCTGGTATTTGGCAAACACGTGAACACCGACAAAATACCAAACCCCAGTAAAAAGCCACCCTGTTAACTCCGCCAAACCTAAAACCCCAGTAAAACTTTACTGGGGCCTGCCATAGTATATATAGAACCACACTAAGTGAGATTACTCAATCTGAAGAGTTCAATACAAACGAAACTAGTTACTGCTAATTAGAGATAACTGGTCTAATCGTTCATTTTATCTACTCTCCCACATTCTTTACATCTATCATAACTTCTTTATTTCATGTTATTTTCAATACGTATCTTAAGTTCTCATGTTATTATACCACAGACTTGATCCCTTGCTCTATTACTATGTGTGATAATTTTGAGGCCATGGCTATAGACAGATTAATCAATGGTTACTTGACTCGCATCAATTAATCTGTGGTGATTTGACTTTTCAAAATAACATTATTCATTATCAATATTTTGTAATTTGATGCTATCATGATCAGCCAAATCATTTAAATATTTTTTTAATTTATACACATGATCTAACCAATTAAATGTGTGAATAATTTATTATGGAAGTGATCCAAAAAAGGAGGAGGTTGGCAATGTTGAATGAAAGATATAGGTTTAAAAAAAAGGCAGAAACATAGTAAACTTTTATGATTGCAGAACATGATTATCTAATTGATTATCTGTTTATCTAGTTTAGGCTAATTGTTTAAAATAATGTCACATTAAATTATTATTCTAATTTCTTTTTTGATGTCCGACCCAAGTAGCCATTGAGTACTGTTTTTTTAATCTTTCTATGGCCTGAACATGAACACTGAATAGCCATCTTTCAAATTTTGTAAAAAAAAAACCCCAAAACAGTTAACTTTTTATAGCTCCAGAGATTTTGTTACATTTGAGGACTTTTGAATCCCTTGGAAACTGCAATATTTACAAAGAAAATATGAATTGAAAGTCTTGCATCATTCGGAAACTTCTACAGACGATATAAACAAGACAGTACCACCTGTAAATGTTGGGTATAACCCTTTGATGGGTCTCTTATTTATCTGCTTGAATCCAAGTCGGAAGATTATTTACTATTATATTTTTGTAATTTTTTTTGATTATTTTTTATGTTAAATAATCAATTTTAGTACATTTCAGTGTGAATTAATCAGTGAAAAATTAGATATTTTCCCAAAAATGCAACTGAAGATCAAAGACTTAAAGATATTTGGTAGCAGGTAACAGAAGGGAAATGGCCACCAACAGCGTCACCAGCATAATTCCAAATTTTAAACAGTATGTTTCAAAAGACAGAAAGTGTACCTAATTCATTTCTTCTATTGGTACACTGTATTATTCAATCTAACCAAAATAAACCATGTTTCTGATGAGTTGGAAGTTGATCATAAAAATTATATAGGTTAAAGAACTGGAAGTTGTTCATAAAAAATTATATAAAGAATTAAACATTTGACATTCCTAAGTGGATAAAAAGCCACCATACATAACCTACACATGTGTTAACACTTATACCAATTGTTTTACAGATAGTCTGGTAAAACTCTAGGTGCTTAAATCAAAATTATTCTATAGAATTTTTTCTAAATCTAAAACTGTTTATAATGGCCTTTGCAGTATAAAGGGACTTCAAATACAGATGTGATGTCATCTTTTGATGTTGGCATACCATTACTTAATGTAAGGCAATGTGCCATTCCTACATCATTTATACTAGATGAAATATTGGACTTGCTTGACGATTTCGTTGTAATGCACGGGTGGGATAATGTCTGTGTTTTAAGTTGTTTAATGACCTTCTGTAATATCAATAAATTACTAAATGTCTCGCTCTCGACCATTGAACCACACATAATGTCAAAGCTCAATTATGATTGGTTTAGTCCATATATATTCATTACAAAGCCCCAATTATACCTGTATTTGGTAATCTAGTAATTTCAAGGTAGATTGACCTATTAGTCTATGGATAATATTTGTTGATTGTTTTTTTTTATATCTTTATTAGGTGCCTGTCCTTTTTCGAAGATTAGATTAACAGTAAAAAATAAAGTCCTTGATGCTTTCCATAATGGATTGACAAGCTAACAAGCTTTCTGTCATCATCAGAAAGTATTTCTCTTTAACCGTTCTTTACATTGAAATGCTTTTAATAATATCTAACAATTCCACTAAATAATTTCATCAATTGTTTAATAGATCTTAATGCTTTAATTTGAGAGGTATTAAATTTCTCTCTGTAGCAAACTTTACAATATGTTTTTGGTAGACAAGAAGTTTGTGAACAATTGTGATCTATTGGTCATTAGAAAGAAAAGAGTTCATTCTAAAAACATTAGAGGAATGGAAATCTCATTAACTTTTACCCCCACATGATGGAAATATGATGAATGGTCTTTCTGAAGTACAAATATACAAGTTTCTCACAGTTCTTTCTGATAGTAAAACAGCAGAAGGCTATAAAAAGGAACACATACAGATATTAGGTTTCAAGCTTCTTTTAAAAAATAAATAGATTATTTCTATAGAAATGACCTTTATGTTTTTCACTGACCCCTCTCGCAATGGCAATATAGCATAGTAACCTTTGCTCTGAAAAAGCGATCAATTTGCTAAAACAATTTGACTTCTGACCTCTAATGGTAACTTATAATCTTAAGAAACTTAATAACTTCTTGACATGGTTTCTTAACTGGAATGGTAGTTTTATGAAAGATTCTACATCATTAACACCACAAGTACTCATTTTTATCACTAGTTATGGAGATACAATCTAAAATATGTGTGTTTTATCCATCTTCAAAGTAGTTGTAAAATACCTAATCTATGCTATTATAATTTGAATACCAGTCTGGTACTAATAGTAACATCATATAAATACATGGATATATTATATACAAATTACATGATGTGGGTTACAGCAAGAAGTACCCCTCCCCCTTTCACTCAATAACTATTAGTTTTCTTTTTTTTTTCTGAAACTAGGACACTCAATCATTTTGGGCACACCCTTTTTTCAGCTAATAGCTTTGTAACTTCCGGTCACATCTTATCAACTTTTTATCAAATGGTAGCTACAAGAACACTAAATGATGAAACCAGCACAATATCTATTGTACCAAATTTAAAGATCCATATTGTTTCTGTATTTACACACCTTTTCAGAAAGATTGATAATAATCACTAGGAATTGTTTAATGTGATCACATGTGCAAATGGGTGGTGGCGGTGGGGGTGGGGTTTGAATGCTAAAAGAAGGACATATATGAATTAGGTGATTATTCCCCTTTCAGATCCTGGCTTTGCACAGAAACAATAAGAAGAATTACAGGCATGGTTGTTTTTAGTTTCAATTTAAAATGTGTTTTGAAGGAGTAATCCATTCTAAAAAGTCAAAATAAAATCATTTTAACATTACATATGAAACAAAAAAAAAAACAACCAAAAAAACCTTTTCACTATAGTTGTTATATTTTATTTCATATTTTTGAAACATAAAATAAAATGAAAAATAAATTAGCACTGAACTTGCAGACAATCAGGAATTCCTGTATAATTGAATGGATTAAAAAAAAAGATTATTTTTCTCACCTGGTGGCAGTTGAACTGTGGCAGTGTGGGTAACTGGAAAATAGGCCAATATATATATCACAACAGAAAGACAGCAACCTCCCAATCCTTGCCGAGCAAGGCTAAAAGGTTGTAACATATTGTTGTAAAGTCAGATTTATTGTACAAACTGTACAGTCTTCCCCTTTCTCCTTTCTTTCTTTTTACCCGTTTCTTTCAACCATACAAACTTATTTCATGCTGGGTGTCTATTCCTTTACTTTAGCGTCAGCATGTATAGAGCTTACAAGCTCTACTCTCTTGAGTTGAGAAGTGGAATTAGTTCTGTTACTGCGGGCCAACGGTAGCCAATAATAGAGACTCTATAATATAGCTCTGCTGACGTTGCACTCCTTCGTTTCTATCAGTCTAGAGTTTTCAGCTCTCAGTAAATTTTTGGGGCTTCTGTAAGTCATTAGGCCACGTTCAGTTTTTTCGAGCAATTTGATGTGTTAAATTTGACAGGTCATGACGATATTCTGTATTTTTAACCGCAGACTTAAAATTCCATTGACTTTATGACTGTCTACAACAGACTAGTTCACGCAAACTGTTTCCATATTCTAAGATTTTTATATTTTGTATAAAATATTATAGACAAAAAGTTTCTATGAAATCGGAATTGTGTATAGCAATAATATAGTTATCCCTTGAAAAATAAAATAAAAATAAGCCACATAATTGCAGTGGTGCCATTATTTCGTGGGTGTCTTAATTTATTACCAACATCTTCGTTCCTTCTTGGGGGCCCACATATTGTGTTTTTAATTAAGGTTTATATTTTTTGGTTATTTGGGTCTAGTAATTCTTGGTAATTGTGTTCTTGCATAATTTTTGTACTTATATTATTTATACTTTTGTATATATCGTATGCTGTCCCATAGGGACGTTTAGATGTACATAATTAATCCCCAGGTTATTAAATATTGGGGGTGGGGGGGTGGGGTGGCGGGGGGTGGCCGAGTTGTTAGCACGTGCGCGTTGTATCATGAAGTCTGTCATTGAGTCAAATGGCGGGATTTCGATTCCCCGGTTGTACGTGACAAGGAGTAGGGTCGCCTGTCCAACCTCGTGGGTTTTCCCCGGATCCTCCGGTTTCCTCCCACTGCTAAAGACCCCTACGCGCAAGCGAATTATTGAAATAAAATTGAACCATGTGTTGGTCCCGAAATGACCTAGTTTGTGACGAGTGGACGTTAAACCCCATTTCTCCCTCTCTATTAAATATTGACGACCTACAACATGCAAAACCAAATGCAAAATGGACACTGGAAATGAAAATTATCATGCGGTATTTTCAGCAGATGTGTAACACCATCTTCGCAATCTAAATGTTTCTCAGACATGCGATGTTGGTAAAGTATCGCCTCCTAGTTATGGGAGAGTGGGTTAAAAAGCCACCTGTTTTATGAAACCACAAGTTTGCTGGATGAACGGTAATTGATATAATTCCATAAACACACCACTAACCTGGTTTAAATTAAGCATGAGCATGGCCGTTGGTTTCAGAAATATGAACTATATGGGGGTGGACTATGCACCATAAATTCCCATTCAGATTTAATTAAAGCACAATATTTAGATAAGTAGGCTATATAAATACAAATATCATAAATCATAGTGTAATACAACCATTATAATACACACTTCTGTTCTTTTTTTATTTAAACTCCATTAACTACCCTTTCTGACACATTCAGATAATCGTATCTAAAAATAAGAAAAAGCCTGCAACATTTACAAATAATGTTTACATGCCCTACATTATAAGATTTGTCATAAAATATAATAATTACAAATAACTGCATTTGCAAGATAAGGCAACACAAACTGAATTGCTGTAACAAGACAATAATAATCTATTTTATGGTTATAGTCTGTAATGCAGTCTACCTACATCATGTGCTATAATAAAAAAAGTTTTATAAAATAACCAGAAAAATTCTTGCATTCCAGCCGTAGCAATGGGAAAGTAAATTTTAAAACAAATTTTCGTTGCAGTTCTTATTTTAAAAAAATCCTTTTGGATGGTTTCGGATATTGATTCGTTTTCCAGGATATTCACCTACCAAGCCCATTTGTAATATTTCCACACATATTTCGCACTGTAAAAGGTGTAGGTAACACATTACTGGCATTTCTATCGACACTAGATGGCAGAAATATCCATGTTATTAATTAATTGTTGGGATGTGAAGATGAAACAACATTCTGCACTGTACTCATCCATGGTTCACGAAGAAAACACCAATAAAAGAATCCCCAGACTTTTATATAGGAATTGCGTTTCTGCAAAAATATACAAGCCCTGTCAATATATATGCGGGTTCAAGACGTCTATAGATAGACTTCTTTGATATGTCGATTTGATTTTAGAAGTGGGCATCTGTCTATAAAACTTTTGGGTCCATACATAAAGCCAATGTTAAGCCAAAAACAAAACTAAAATTTGTACACAAACCGACTTCCGTTCAATATTTCAACATGGTAATTTAATGTCACACCTGCTGTCCCAGTACTCATTGAAATACAATGTTAGATAATCCGCCATGATGCGGATTAGTGTTTATCCACTGCACTTGTCCGTCAAAATGTTTAGCGTGTTTAGGATTCTTTTCAAACGGACCTAGATGCAACTTTAATCACGCCCAAATCCGAGAAGGAATCGAAGATATCGAGGAACACACTGGAATACGTTCCAGAAGCACAGTATCATGATCAAATTTAACCGAAACTTCTCGTTCTCCAGCAGAAGAAATCAGAAATATGTAAAAACTGCCCCTTTCAGATCTCACAGCAGCGGCTTTCGAAAACGTCTGATTAAGCATACAGGTCTCGTAATTTTGCAAATAAAACCAAGAAGTTAATTGATGGGATGATAAATGGGTAAAACAAGACAAATAAAGTAACATCATATACCAAATATCAAATTAAATCAATGGATCAAGTCCACACTGAGTTGGTCAAATTGCAACAAGTGGTAAAATAGCTACACAGGATACTAGTTGGTACATGTATTATAAAAAAAAACGCATCCCACTTTCCAACGTCGGATATATAGGGAAGAAAATTCAATACAATTGGCTATATACCACGATTCCCCACACCCACCCCAAACAACACAAACTAGGTCATTTCGGGACTAACATATTGTTCAATTTAATTTCAATAATCTGCTAATCCGGCAAGAGAGGAAAGCGTCAAACGAACGGGGTGAGTGAATCAAAGTGAATGAAAATTCTCGCCGCGTTGAACCTATACCCCAAAACTTTGAGGATCGTAAAAATAATTCTCAACTGGTTCACGTGTTATTATTTATAGTAGGTTTACAGCAGGATGGAGGGGAAAATTTTGAACCAGCAGTTGCCAGGCAAGATACGCCCACATTTTGCAAGAGATGGACAGAGGACAAGCAAAAGAAAAAAGCGATTTTACGTAAAATCAGGGGCCATACATGTATATTTTAAGTTTCATTAAAATCGGATAAAAACAAGAGCATGGGTACCGCTGAAATATACGTCCACATTCCTGGGGGTCGGGGCATGTACCAAAATAAATAATTGTTGTTTTAACGGTATAAGGAATAAATATGCAAAGTTCCAAGATGGTCCATTCAGAATTGCAGCCTGTAGACGATTAGCACAATTAATAGAAGACTAACACAAAAATTGGGCGTGGCCCGAACCCTGGGGCTTGGATATGGAACAATACAAAAAGGTACAACCCTATGATGGATCATGCTAAATTGGATGCAAGTCTGTTAATAATTGCAACCTGTAGATTATTTACAGACAAAATATTAACAAAAAGTTGGCGTGGCACCGCCTAAGCAGGGTGGATCATGCACCAAAATCATGCTGTACTTAGGGTATAAGGAATGAGAATACCAAGTTCCAAGGTAATCCATACAGAATTGTGGCCTTCAGACGCTAAAAACAAAAACAAAATGGGCGTGGTTTGGTTCCTGAGGGTTGAAACATGCACCAAAATCAATAGTTGCCATCCTTGGGCTATAAGGGATACATATGCCAAGTTCCAATACGATCAATTAAGAATTGTGGCCCGTAGGCAACAAACGGAGATAAAATGGGCGTGGCTCTGTACCTGGGGATTCGGACATTCATCAAAAACAATATTGACCATCCATAAGGTATAAAGAATAGGAATGCAAAGTTTCTAAAGGATCTGTCAAAAAGTGGGCATCTAGGCAACACACAAACACAAAAATTGGGTGTGGCTCTGTCACAGGGGACCGGGTCATGCACCAAAATATAATAGAGGTCATCCTTAGTTTATAAGGAATAAGTATGAACAGTTTTCAAGACGATCCTTTAAGAATTGTGGTCTGTAGGCGACACACAATGACACAAAGATAAAATGGGCGTGGCCCTTCCCCTGGGTTGGGCATGATCCTTAGGGTATAAGGAATCAGTGTGCCAAGTTTCAAGAAATGCGGCCTGTCGACGACAAACAAATAAATACAGAAATTGGGCGTGGCATTTTCACTTGGGTGCGGGCATACACCAAAAAAGAATAGGAATCACACTTAGGGTATAAGGAATAAGTATGCAAAGTTTCAAGACAATCCATTAAGAATTGCGGCCTGTGGGCGACCCACGGACACACAAACACAGACAGGGGCGACGGCAACATACATGCGTCCACATTATAATAATGTGATCGCTACAGGGTCCACAACCTATTTCCATACGGGGAGGGGCCATTTAGTTGGGCAGTTTTGGTCCGATTTTTCACGAAATTCGAACTCAAATAATTAGGGTGTAACGGTTATATATTTAACCGATTTTTACAATTGGATAGAAATTGTTACCAGAAGCTAAAATCACGATTTCTCGTACAATCAGGGGCCATAATCCAGGAATGCGCGAATATAGAAAGGAGCTAAGCTCTTTGGAAAATAACCAGAGGTTGCCAGGCTAGATACGCCCACATTTTGCAAGAGATGGATAGAGAACAAGTTAAAATCTAACAAGCCAACAGTGAGGCTGATGTCCCCCGCCGAAATCCCCAAATAAATAGATGACACATATTAATTAATCGCACATCTATTTTTTTCAAAAGTATCAAGCAATCAAACTGATTATCAACTAAACACTAAGTTTCATCACTCTCTATCAGATAGAATCAAAGTTATCTTGTCCCAAAGCATCGACCAAGGAAATTTCTTATCTCTGCTTAGCTTTAGCTCAATATGTTAATCATTGAACTCAGTCAAGACGAACATCTATATCAAGTTTAAACATTCTACATCAATTAGAAGCAGAGTTGTTATGTTCCAAAGTCTTGACCAATCAAA